ACTATGTTTCAACTTAATGCAGGGCTCTATTGAATATCAAGGCAAAACACTCCGAGTTCGACCTGCTGTCAGACGAAAGGTATACTAATCCCTATAACCTATACATCATAAAACATATTAGTCTTTCACATTTGAAAGTAATGTGCTGATAATCAATGATATAAATCTAGGTTTAATATACTTGTATCTTATACGTGTATTCATATAATTGTGCATATATAGTCACTTGTGTTGTATTAGATGTATTTAATAATGGCATCCTTCAGGTCTCAACGTCTGCATGTGTCGGCCTATAATTTCCACAATTTCTTTAGTTTTTATTAAAAAAATTGGCATATCCATAACGAAATGATTGCAGATTCAAATGTATCTGGATATGTTTGGGCGGGGCCTAACCATATGAAATGTCCTGTATACATGGATCAGGAATCCCACAAATTGTGAGACCGCACCATCCCGCGCGTAAGCAAGCGATTCGCTCGAGATTTTAAAAATATGCAATTATTTATTAAGTGGAAAATCTCGCGAGGAATAGCAAAACCTCGCGCGATGGTGCGGAAAATCCCACGATTTACGGGGTTCGTGATCCATGTATTACTGGATTAATGTTAGGCTATTTATAATTAAACAACATCAGTTTTAATCAGTAATTCGTTTCATAGACCACATATATATCATATTATATGATCACTGATGACTGTTCTTACAGGGTCAGGGTCAATTTGAAGAAGAAAAACTAAAAAGTCTCGACCAGAAAATGAAAATGTCTCAACCGCAAGGTATGTGTGATAACGTTTTTTCAAGCGTTTGATTTGCGATCCGCAATTTGGCGGGATATGTTCGAAGTAGGGAACAGGCTAAATAGGCAATGGATAAAGAAATGGCAGGATTGGATTCTGGCCTGTGCCCTGTGGACAGACTTAACTCGTAGTGCAATACAAAGTTAGTTTTGATATTAAAGTGCACATATTTGTAATATCTAATACATTTTGAGATGAAATGCAATATATTTTCTTTGTGAAAAACGTCATCTTCATGGTCTTTTATAATTGGCTGTTAAAGTTTCCAAAACTGACGTCATCTCAAAGTCATTTTTGTTGCAACAAAACAATAGAAAACTCATTTGCATTGCCTTAAATGACGTCAGTTCCGGAAAATTTAACAGCCAAAAAGACCATGAATATGACGTTTTCCACAAAGAAAATATATTGCATTTCATCTTAAAATGTACTGGATATTACAAATATGTAAAATGTAAATTTTATAATCTCACTTTTAATGAAGACTTCGTTATTTAATTAAAAAATAATTTCTCTAAGCATTATGACCTGTCCGAATATCATTTTTTAATTATAACAATATAGGATGTTTTATTTTCTAGTAAACATGGCAGACAATATTTATTATGCATGCCTATGGCCAACTGCAGATTGTCCACCTTATCAATACACCCTGCCGGTAAGTACGGTGTGCTGGTGCTTAAAGTAATTGGTTGAACTTATCATACAAGAATACCAAGGGTCGGTTGTACGCAGCGTTTATATTAATTTATTTATTTTATTTATTTAGCTTTGCCAACTAGGGCAGGGTAACCACAACAGAATATGCCAATTACTGTGCGCCCTTTTACCTAAGCCACCCTGTCAACTTTCCCTGTGGGAGGAAATCGGAGTACCCGGAGAAAACCCACGACTTTCCGCAGAGCGTTGACTTTTTACTCTTTTCACACGAGGACTGGGTTCGAGTCGCATTGAGAAAGTTTTCGCTGAGGCTTGAACTTGCGGCCTTAGATGTGAAAGGCAAGTGCGCTAACCACTTCGCTATCTGGTGGACAGCCCTGTCCGGTTTTCGTACAACCGATGCCTGATGTCGACGATTTCGATAATATACAGTATGATGACCAAACATTATACTTGAGATTTCTGTTCAAATGAAACATATCTAAATATATTCTTAAGCAAATAAAGTAAATAATTATATAATATAGAAATAAGGTCGTTCCATGAAAAAATCTCATGCCGCACAGTTTAAAGATCCGAAGTAGTCCTCGTAATTTTCAGGTAGCTAATTTTTGAAAGAATCTGAGAAAACACACCGCGTATCCAAATCGTTTTCGATCGTCCACGCAAATACGGCGCTTATAAGTACGAAAGTCGTTTATTAGTCGTTTATTCATCGCTAACGAATATGACTTGAGTCATCCGTATATCTGTGGCTAAAACATATGGGCGATGTGATAGGCTATAACCAATTTTATGCGACTTAGAGTTGGGATGTCCAAAAAATGTCACCAAATTTTTTTTCGATCACCCTAACTCTAGACTAGCCTGCGAAGTCTACTGTCTTACGGTTCATATTGTTTTTAACTCGGTTTTGATTCACGTATCGGGTATCTTTGCTAGAAAACACGCCTTATATCTGAAATTTTAGTATTGTGTTGCCCAAATCCTTTTACATGAATGACTTCCCTGAATCTTGATATAAATCATAAATGTTTACGCCTTTACGATTGCAAGGATCATTTACGATAATAGGGAGCTTTAGATTTGACTACGAGTACGACTACGAGTACGAGATTCGTCAAGCGAAAACACATGCTGTATGCTTACGCCATCCCGTACTGACGCGAAAAAGTCGTAGCCGTCGCCCATCTGAGAACGAACTTGCGGATAAATCTCGTAGTCCTCACGACGACTTTTCAAAAAAACAAAGAAAGTTGACTTTTTTTTTGTTTTCCAAAAATAATTTCTAGCATTTATATAGCGTTTATCCGGCGCAAATAATATATTAATACTAAATATCTGGCCTGTTTTTAATGTTATGACTTATTTTCACGTTTTGTAGGGGATTTTAGAGTGCAGGAGATTTAGTTTATGAAACTTTTTCTCTCGTTGTTGGTTTACTGCTATAAAAACAACATTTGAGTGAAAACGAAAACGACTACGGTAATTTCCTAGTAGCACACGATCAAATCTCGTACTCGTAGTCGTACTCGTAGTCAAATCTAAAGCTCCGTTATTATATTAACATACATCTGTCCTTTTAATTCCGTTTTAGTACCAGAGTGTAGTATATGTCCCAACTGTCTACTTTCAGGTATATAGTGTTTCGTTACCCTAATTCATCTATCAGCCTGCGAAATGTAATTTGCCATATAGGGCTGACGGCTATGACTAAGTAGGACGTCAACCTTATATACACCGCCAAATTCTTCCTTAACGTGAGTCTCCGCGCATGCGCTCTCCGGATCTAAATTATAGTTCGCGCCAAACAAACTTTTGTCAATCCAAACCCTCGACAGCCATTTGATCAAAACAAAGTTTGTTTTTCGTTTAATTTATTTGAGTGCCTGTCGAGAAATCTTCCAGAAAATTTTGTATTCATCGCCGCGACCAACTGTACCATTGGACCAAATGGACCATTTTGTCATCTGGTTAATATCCGTTCCCTGTATGCTAATTTTTTCCTGTTTTTGCTTTTTTTTATCAACAGCCATGGACAGGTTTTTAATATTTTAAAGAAGGTAAGAGAAATGGCCCTTTCAGTATAAATTACATGTTCACAATCTACTTTCTTGACTTTTTAACATACTATAAAAAATTAAAAATTATGATCACAAATTAGTAATGCATAGCATTATAACTTCATTTTTAGATGCTGTATTATGAATGCAGTTGATTATATTGCTCTCTTAAAGGAAGATTTTTCATCAATATTTTACATGTGTGACATACTTGCAACCATTTTACTATCAATACTCTTTTACCAGGATTATTAAGCATGTGATGTATATTTGTCTATCCATGGATGTGATCCTAACGTGTGTAATCAATGTAAAAATGAAGATAAAGATATATATGCTTTAAATAAAATGATGAACAATGTGTGAACCTATTATCTAATGTCCTTTTTTCTATTTTTGCCTATCAAAATCGCGAAAAAAAAGTCTTGCCGCAGGCCTTAAAATATCTTTTACAGGGCCGTATGTCCGATGACCTTCAGTTCAGTTTTGACTCAGAAATTAAAGTCTGAATGACACAAATGAATATCAGCACAATGTATTAATTCTAAACCGACTAAACGGTAAATGAAGATATTAAATAATTTGTGTCACTCATACTTATTTCCAAGCCAAAATTAACTTCTTGCAAGAACAGAAGTAAGACTTCGACAACTTAAGCCCGTTTTCCACTTCACCATTTCGCTAGCACGTCGCCGCCCCGCGCTCGATCAGCCTACGTTAAAACAACATTTCCATGCAGTTTACTTTTTATACAATACTCAATTGTCCTTTATTTTCCATTTACCATACGAGCCTTACTGCGGATTGATTTACGGTTGGACAAAGCTACAGTTCGGTCGGACACCAATACACTCGGGTCGGACAAACAGTAAACCCCAGTTTCACTTATGTCGGACAGAATGTCCGTTGGCTTCCTCACTACGTCGGACAATTTCACGAATGGGTCGGACAATGTCCGTGCATGACCAACCGATATTTTAAGGTCTGCGAATATTGCATCGAAAAAATTGGGAAATGAAGTACGCGAATAAGGTATACTGTACATAATTGTTACGCGAGGTGAGACCTAAACCAATTATATCTATCAAGCTGTAATCTTTCCGTCGGCGCAGTAGTTCAAGACAATTTAAGATCGTCCTATCCGTCTTTCGCGAGTCAATTTACTTGGATGGATGGTTATTTGAAAATACACATGTTTTCACTAATTTTTATATTATATTGGACATAGCTTGTAAGTAGCTTGTAAGATATACATCTATTTCAATTAAGGTTGTCTCCCGAGCAAAGCGGAAAAGTCGAATACGGGCGCGAAAGGCTGGCTCGTATTCGACTTTTCCGCTTTGCTCGGGGGACAACGTTAATTGAAATAGCTGTATGCATTTCTCTTATGCATATAGACTTCCCATAGGATCAATATTTTCGAAAACGGAAACGAGTATTTAATATCAACTGCTGGCGCCAAAATCGACTTTTTTAACTACGCCAGAAATTATACTTTCAAAACAAAAAAATGAAGAATGTCTAGTTAAATTGTTGCACAAAATTTTAATCAGTCTACTACAGGTGACGCCATCAAAACGTCATGCGCATAACTTGGCAAACACTTCGGCCCATTTTAGTGATGTGGCAGAGTTGCATGTCTTTGTCGCCAGCTGAGTGAGCAATTGTGTCCGTTTTTAGTTAGAACAAGGTATATCTAGTATACCAATCACACTAATCACCATGTATTTAAAGTAGTCTATCTAGAACATCTACAAGATTAAAAGGCAAAAGTCGCTTTGATTGGTTTTGTGGGAGCGGAATAACTGGCAAATGACAAGCTGCCTCTCATCCACCGAGCAGTTTACACGAAGTCTCTGGTGGAGCAAGAGTTAATGATGTATTCAATCTTCCCAGCACTCTCCTCGCGTTCTCTTCGCGCTCAAGTTCGGGAAACTTCAAGTAAGTTCGGTGTAGAGAGGTAAAGCGCGCTATGACATCCCCCGTTTTGTCAATCAGTAAAGTTTACGATTTTACTTAATTTATTTACGATATACATGGTTCTTAGTTATATTAACGAAATGGTATCACATCCAGTACTTTTCAAAAAACATTCTGTCATTTTCAACGACTAAATTACCAGGAATCTTTCCCGACTACTGCATGGCGGGCTATTTCCAAAGGTAGCTGTACTCCTTTCATTAAAAATTCTGTGATGTCTTTACAAATGAGGAGGCACGACTCGAATGGCGATAAACAAACATACCATCCAGCACAAAAGAATCCTATTGGCCAACCAATGAAGAGTAATAATAAGATCCACAAAATTGTCCAAAGAACCCTCATTGCTGCTCTAGAGATTTTTTGGTTTTAGAATTGATTAGTACTGCAAGAAAAAGGAAATGGTCGTCCCAATATCATTGAAGTTTCAAATCACATTGAAGTTTCAAATCACATTACTAAATAAATTTCGTCACCCCCCCCCCCAGTCCAATGTTGTAAACAGCGCCGAAACAACTTTTGGTTACCTGAACAGGACTACCGAGACTATAGGAGTTCCATGGAGCCTAGATCTCGGCCTTCTATTTTTAATTAATTTTAGCGCTTTTTCCCATTACTGAATTACATTATTACTGAATGCTAGCCCGAAAATGACCTAACCTGAGAAGAGAGCCGAGAAAATGTGGTAGACCTGGGCCGCAGGTGTTCCACAGCACTGATTGCGGTGCGAGAATGACAGAGCCTGAGAGGGTGAAAGGTCGAGTACGAACTACCAGGGAGAAAGTATCAACACAGTCAAATGCTTTTTTTAAGTCAAACGCTAATTGTTCACCATGTATCATATAATATTTCTTAAATTTTTGTACTAATACAAGTATTGGCCACTGGTATTGCCCCAACATTCAATATTATAAAGCTTACTTCCTGTATATATTTCATTAACTGCAACAACAATGAAGAGGTTTCTTAATACGAACCTCTGGCTAGCATACAAGACATTAATACAATTTTAACAAATATAAATTGATTTAGTCATGGGACATTGATTATTCAACTAGACCAGACTGACCAAGACCCTCGCTGCTGGTAATCTTCTATGTGGATTTTCTAAGCGATGTGAAGGAATTTCGAAATTGCAATTTAATTCATAGTCCAAAATGACAATACGAATAAACATGACTCCGGCTTGCCGCTTGCGTAAGACCCACTTACTAATAGCGCCTCACGAAAAGTCGTGATATCCTTAAATATAACAAACTACCATAGCATAGCCATAGGGTTTTACTATTTGTGTGTGTAAAGCGTGTAGGAAATACCTTCCTTACCTTATTCAATTCTGTAAAATTTCACGTATCCTCGCGACCAACAACAAATTAAATGACTGATGTGTCCGGATACCTGCCTGCAGATCACGAGAGCTTCCAGGTCACGCGAGTTAAGTACGCACACACTTTCATACCCGGAATGGCTATATATGGTGGACGGTTTAATGCTCATTAATTTAATTAAACCAATAAAATTCAAGACCACCAAACCTCAAATTTTATATCACCTTATTTGGAAGAACATTTGAAAGGATAACTTATCTTGACTATTTTCGTTTCCTCGCTTTGCTTTTGAGATATTTCGGTAAATGTATGGAATTTACGTCACATATGCATATCCACTGGGACTGGGATAGAGCGTCATATTGGTGCGACCGCCACGAATCTATAGTGGTGTTGCTGACATGTTGGAAGGGGTTCTTAAAGTTTCTGCTGATAATATTGCCTATAACATAGAGAAATTGGTTGATCTTCCTTCTGAAATTTGCTCGGACGTTACGAAAGCGGAACGAAAGCGAACGTGACGAAAAACTGCCGCTATTATTACAGTTTCACTTCACGGGTAAAAGCTATGGATTGTTGTTCACAAGCGTCGCAACGATTTTAAAAACGCGAAAATTTTAATAAAAACTGCGATTTATTGGAAACTTGAGTCACACCGAAAACTAAGACTCTTACGACAAAGTCGCAAAGATAGACTTACTGCGATTTTTACGATAGCGATGTCTGCTGCGTTCCGCGACTATTGCGATTTATCTGTGTGACTCAAGTTTCCAATAAATCGCAGTTTTAGTTAAAATTTTCGCGTTTTCAAAATCGTTGCGACGCTTGCGATGCAGTTCTTGCGATAATTACGATTTAATGGAAACCAGGCTTTTCTCCTAAGAGAGGTGTGGGACTCTATATCTTTCAAGAAGGCACAACGTGACCTGTTGAGCGATGTGATTTAGTCGGCGTGAAACTTGATTTTGTTCACAAACTCTTTCAAGTTTGTGCAAAAAGAGTGGCGATAATATATGCCTCAATACATGGGCGTACCGGGTGGGGAGGGGGCTTGGAAGGTAATCCGCCTCGTACCCAGGGTTTCCGCACTTGTGACTCCCTGGGTACGAGGTTGGACAGTAAGAGACTGGTCGTTCAGTATTAATGCTGGCTTAATTAGGGCTGGAGATGCCTGCATGAGTTCGAAGATATTCTGCCCATAATTTCAAATTGCCCTACCCAAATCTCCCTTATGGCAACCTTGTCCTCAGCGGGCCTTTAAAGCAACATAGGTCCTGGGATTGCGAGGTTGCCCTTATGGATCCAAAATATCTCCGACCCTCCCCCACCATAGGCATAGGGGAGGGAAAAAATTAGGGTGGGGGATATTTTCAGTAACGTTACACATTTCTTCCCTTTTCAACTATTTTAACATGCACGCGTCGCGTTTCCCTTTTAATCTTTAAGTACAATCTGCCTCACTAAAAAGACCAAGCGTAAGACCACAAAGACCAAGCCATGGTAGTGATATTTCCATTCTATTGCAAAATCGTTATGAAGGTTTAAACGTTCTAGAATAGTAGTAGATGATGAGCATGCAATATGATGGCAATTAATGAGTTTGGGCGAATATTGTATTGATGACCTCGATATTGACTATGGAGTCAACATTGCGGCTATACTTAGGATATTAGTGGCCGTTCACACATTTAGCCCGCTCAGCAGCTCATTGGACTTCTTGTGGAGGGTCCAAACTTGCACAAAAAAATGAATTAATTACTACCGAAGTGGGGAAAATGCCAGGCTGCTAAGCAAGAAATTAGCTCGAGTTGCAAAACGCGAACCGACCCGAGACCACCTCTCGAGGTGATCTAGTTTCGGTCGATCTCGAATCGGTCTCAGGCTCTCAGCTCGTTCTTCGTTGTCCACATTCGGATCAGTCAGTTTAAATCACTATGCTGTGAACGGCGCCGTAATTTGAGAAGTTGCAGCGGTCGCTATCAGAATAATCCGCCGGAAAGAACATATTCTGACATGTCCTGGTTCACTTCATAACAGTAACCGTAAAATACAGCTGAGCACTCCAAACAGTGAATACCGAAATGGAGCAGCCTGATATCTTTGAGTTATATTTGGAGAACTCGTCTGAGTTTGAAGATCACCGTTGCCGTGGGAATTCGGTGTTTTTCCCACAAGCAGTTATTGTCTATCTTTCTTACGAATTTAACATCAGTTGTTGATCGAATAAATTTATTTGCTAACATTTCAATACATTCATATCACGCTGTTCCGCGCTATACAGATACACATGCCGCTAGTACGCTTGAATTGTTTCAATTACAGTGTTATTATTCTATGTGAAGAAGATCTTTCTAGATTAACCAATAAAAGAGGGTTTATTTGCATGTCAAACACATCCCAACGCAATATCAAATGCAAATTACCATCATTATAGTTTCTCGCAGTGTATATATGCAAAACAGAGTTCTTTGACGTTAGCTGCCTTAGATTATTGCAGGGCGTGAGATGTTATACTGAAACATCAAAGATTCCTTATCATCTGTAGCAGAGCAAGCAGGTAACGATATAATTAAACTCCTAGTAGCCGATTAAAGTTCAAGCTTAATTTGATTTTGTTTCTAATACACTGAAATGACTATTATTTACCAACGATCCAAGCTTTGTCCGAAACCCAGTAGTTACATATACTTTTGAGTTATCCCTATAGTATGTTGCCGTTCCGTCCAGTCTACGGTTCTGACTATACTCATGCAGGCTATATAGCCGTTGAATAAGCTAGGATTCTGTGATGACTGATGTATCGTGTTATTAGCAGATTTTCCGCTATGAGTGAAGTGCGAAATTCATAGTAATGCTACAAAATGGTTGTATTTTGTTACTAAGTTAAATAAATTGATGGTGTATGGCGCCACAATTTAGAATTTTACCTTTGAATTAGTATGAGGAAATGTTACACTGTAGGTTGTGTATGTACTATGTATTTATTACATTTGTCATATCTGCCCCAACTTTAATCATAATATACTTTTATGTCCCATTCAACTCTAATCTTATACACTATTTACCCCAAGACATATAAAGTCGAAATAAAATTGTATATATAGTGAATGCGCCTGCCGGTATATGGAATCGTGACACCTTGCTTCTGGCAGAAACTGACCGCCTGAATTGTGCATATTTCTCTAGGTTTATAAGGGCAGTTCAAGTGTCGACAAAATGAATGTTCTTTGGGCGATCATTTGGTTTCTAGTCCTATTATTTATCGCATGGCCAGTTGGATTTTTCTGTGCCGGTTGGTACATTTGTTGTTCGCCGTTCGAGGCTTGTATATCAGCATGTAAGTCAATCACAGACTTACTCATGAAAGGATTGTCATTTCCACTTAACGTTGCGAAGCATATGGTTGAGGGAAAGACTGGCTGGTAATAATTTTGGGAGTTCTGTATTTCTTCTGTTCATGGCTATATGATGGCATGGGGGAATATTTGCTGTACCTGCTGTTACCGTAGCAACGGTAATTAATTATGAAAAGGACGACATAACAATTACTATTTAGCATTTTAGCACGGCATGCATGGAACTCACCGTTCACTAGACAAAATGTAAGATATATAACTTAAAATATATATATATAGCAATTATATTGGTTATTGTATAATTGGAATTAGTTGTTCTTCTAATCACATCCTATTTTCAGGGGGTTCACTGCTTGTCTATGCACGCTTATCTAAACTAATCTGCAATTCTTTTAATTTTATTGCGATATTGCTTCGCAGACAAATGTGAATGACTCTGATGGCTGTCTCTCGACTTTTCTCGTTATATAAGTATCAATGACAAATGAAATAATTTACTTTTTATAGTAAGAACAACCAAAGTATACGTATGTCCGTCCTGTTTTTGTTGCGTAACTGGGCCTTGGGGTTTCCAAATTCAAAGCCATTTAGTGAAATTTTACTGACTTGATTTGTTCTAAAGTAAAAAGGCAAAACGGGCAGGCACCTTATAATCATTTGCGGTTATGGCCATGGGTTGATTATACAGTACTGATCTCTATACTAACGGACACCCTGACACTTCTCTCGTCCGACTAGACTGCCATAAAACCTCCATGCAGACACCGAGGCTGATGACTCCCGGCACATACAACGTATAATATAAACCTCCAAACATTGGACAGCAAGCTTCGGTCCGGAGGTGCTGTTATGTGGAGGTTTCACTGTACTTCAACTACATTACAATTATACCGATCTAATGACATGCTGTGACGGCACAGACGACGTATACGTCCTCTTGCACAACTGAAGACACTTGCACTGCCTCGGACCATTTGCAATGGACCATTTGCATTATAGACTAAATTTTGATCTAGACAAAAATTTCATCACAGCTTGAAAGAGCATCACAAAATTAGTAATATTCCGAAGTTTCGT